GGGCATATTGTGGAGGGTGAGATCCCAAGGGCGTGGATAACCCCACCCCTACGCTCCATTGGTTCCAGCACGTGGTGGTCTCTCACGAGCTGGAGTCTGCTTGCTGAATCTTCACTAGGCATTGCCCTGCTGGGGCCTCTACGGCAGCGCCAGCTGCACACTTCTGCTTGGCATTGCTTCAGCGGAGGCGCTCTCCAGTGGCTCCACCCTTGTTACAGGTGTGTGCGTCCATAGTCAAGCTGTCCACACGGTCTATGAAATCTAGGTGGAGTCTCCTTGCCCCCACGCTCTGGTGCTCTCTGCCCCCCCGGCTGCTCTGGGAGGCTGCTTGTTGATGTTTGTGCTTTCCAAGGCCTGTGCAGCATGCTGCTTGCCCCTTTGCCCCGTGAATGCTTCGCACTGCTGTTCGCTGTACCCTGCTGAAGTTTGCACTGCAGCTTCCTTCCCGATTCCCCCAGGCATTGCCCCCATGCAGGTGTTGCACGCAGGTGTTCCAACCCTGAGACATAACCCTGCCTGGTCCCCTAGGGTTTTTGTTTTTTTAATCTCAATGGAATCTGTCATAGCTCCATAATTCTTGCATTCTGCATTTCTGCAAAACCGGCATCACGTGGACTCCAACAAGGCTTGCCACCGCATGAGGCATCCCTGGGCAGATTAAATTACGGCTGCAGTCCTATGGCGCTGTGTCAGTTGTATGCAGAGAAATGAATGCTGAGGCACTCTTGGGAAGCGGGTCTGCTTTCCCAGGCTTCTGGGCTATGATGGGAGAAGAAAAGTTAAAGATTTGCTAGATGGGTTTCTGTACTGTGGCGCAGCAGGTTAAGCTATGGCCTGCAGCGCCATTATCCCATATGAGCGCCAGCTCCAGTGCTGGCTGATCCTCTTGCAATCTAGCTCCTTACTAATGTGCCTGGGAAAGCAGTGGAAGATGGCCCAAGATCCTGGGCTCTACACCCATGTGGGAGACCTGGAAGAATCCCCTGGCTCCTGGCTTCAGCTTTACCCATCTCTGCACGTTGTGGCCATTTAGGGAGTGAACCAGTGGATCGAAGTTTCTCTCTCTCTTTCTCTCCCTCTCTCTCTCTCTCTCTCTCTCTCTCTATATATATATATATATGTCACCTTCTCTCTCGCTGTAATGCTATCTTTCAAATAAATAAATAAATCTTTAAAAAAAGATTTCTGAGATGCCTTTGGAATCTATCTCACATTGTCTTGTTATTAGCAAATTACTCCCTTTTACTTGCACAAATGTTTTAAAAAGTTTATTTTTTTATTTATATGAAAGGCTGCGTGTGTGAAAGGGTAGTGAGAGGAGACCTTCTGTGTGCTCTAGTTCCCTCCCCAGATGGTCTCAACAGCTGGGGCTGATAGACTGAAGCCAAGATCCAGGAACTCCATATGCATCTTCCACGTGCTTGTCAGGGACCCAAGTACTTGAGCCATCATCTGCTGCTTCTCAGGTTTAATAGCAGGGAGCTGGATCAGAAGAGAGTAACTGGACTTGAACCAGCAATCCGATATGGGAGGTGGACATCCCAAATGACAGCTTAACTGCTGTGCCACAAAGCCAAACCTCAACCTCTCAAGCCTGCACAAATTCCTTTATCAAGAAATTTTCCTGGGGCAGGCACTGTGGCATAGCAGGTAAAGCTGCTGCCTGTAGTGCTGGCATCCCATTAGGGCACTGGTTTGAGTCCTGGCTGCTCCTCTTTTTATTCAGCTCTCTGCTATGGCCTGGGAAAGCAGTGGAATATGGCCCAAGCCCTTGGACCCCTACACCCTTGGAAGACCTGGAAGAAGCTCCTGCTTTGGATTGGCCCAGCTCCAGCTGTTGCAGCCATTTGGGGAGTGAACCAATGGATGGAAGACCTCTCTCTCTCTCTGCCTCTCTGTGGCTCTGCCTAGTAAATGAATGAATGACTGAATAAATAAATCTTAAAAAAAATAAAAGAAATTTTCCTTCCCTACTCTTCTGTTCCAAACTGGGTTTTTCTTTGCTCCTTCCCTAGCCAGGCTGTGACTTTTTTTTTTAACTTTTATTTAATGAATATAAATTTCCAAAGTACAGCTTATGGATTACAATGGCTTTCCCCTCCATAACTTCCCTCCCACCCGCAACCCTCCCCTTTCCCGCTCCCTCTCCCCTTCCATTCACATCAAGGTTCATTTTCAATTCTCTTTATATACAGAAGATCAATTTAGTATATATTAAGTAAAGATTTCAACAGTTTGCACCCACATAGAAACACAAAGGGATAAATACTGTTTGAATACTAGTTATAGCATTAAATCACGATGTACAGCATATTAAGGACAGAGATCCTACATGAGGAGTTAAGTGCACAGTGACTCCTGTTGTTGACTTAACAAATTGACACTCTTGTTTATGGCGTCAGTAATCACCCTAGGCTCTTGTCATGAGTTGCCAAGGCTATGGAAGCCTCTGGAGTTCGCCAACTACAATCTTATTTAGACAAGGTCATAGTCAAAGTAGAAGTTCTCTCCTCCCTTCAAAGAAAGGTACCTCCTTCTTTGATGACCCATTCTTTCCACTGGGATCTTACTATCAGAGATCTTTCATTTAGGTCATTTTTTTTTCCAGAGTGTCTTGGCTTTCCACGCCTGAAATACTCTCATGGGCTTTTCAGCCAGATCCGAATGCCTTAAGGGCTGATTCTGAGGCCAGAGTGCTGTTTAGGACATCTGCCATTCTATGAGTCTTCTGTGTATCTCACTTCCCATGTTGGATCGTTCTCTCCCTTTTTTATTCTATAGGTTAGTATTTGCAGACACTAGTCTTGTTTATGTGATCCCTTTGACTCTTAGTCCTATCATTATGATCAACTGTGAACAGAAATTGATCACTGGGACTAGTGAGATGGCATTGGTACATGCCATCTTGATGGGATTGAATTGGAATCCCCTGGTATGTTTCTAACTCTACTGTTTGGGGCAAGTCAGCTTGAGCATGTCCCAAATTGTACATCTCTTCCCTCTCTTATTCCCACTCTTATATTTAACAGGGATCACTTTTCAGTTAAGTTTCAACACTTAAGAATAACTGTGTATTGATTACAGATTTCAACCAAAAGTATTAAGTAGAACAAACAAAAAAAATACTAAGAGGGATAATGTATTAAGTTGTTCATCAACAGTCAGGGCAAGGGCTGATCAAGTCACCGTTTCTCATAGTATTCATTTCACTTTAACAGGTTTCCCCTTTGGTTCTCAGTTAATTGTCGCCGATCAGGGAGAACATATGATATTTGTCCCTTTGGGACTGGCTTAATTCACTCAGCATAATGTTTTCCAGATTCCTCCATCTTGTTGCAAATGACCGGGTTTCATTGTTTTTGACTGCTGTACAGTATTCTATAGAGTACATGTCCCATAATTTCTTTATCTAGTCTACTGTTGATGGGCATTTGGGTTGTTTCCAGGTCTTAGCTATTGTGAATTGAGCTGCAATTAACATTAAGGTGCAGACAGCTTGTTTGTTTGCCAATTTAGTTTCCTTTGGGTAAATTCCAAGGAGTGGGATGGCTGGGTTATATGATAGGGTTATATTCAGGTTTCTGAGGAATCTCCAGACTGACTTCCACAGTGGCTTTACCAGTTTGCATTCTCACCAACAGTGCGTTAGTGTCCCTTTTCCCCACATCCTCGCCAGCATCTGTTGTTGGTAGATTTCTGAATGTGAGCCATTCTGACCCGGGTGAGGTGAAACCTCATTGTGGTTTTTATTTGCATTTCCCTAATTGCTAGTGAACTTGAACATTTTTTCATGTGCCTGCTGGCCATTTGGATTTCCTCTTTTGAAAAATGTCTACTGATGTCCTTGGCCCATCTCTACTCTGTCCTTTTTTGCTTCTGATTCTCACTGTGCAGTGGATGAGAAGTGGCCAGTACTATCGATGCTCCCGCCTGAATGTTTTGCTCTTTAGAAGTCTCCATTGTCAAATAAATCAGTCCCTCATATTTAAGTTCTGCCTTCCACTCTCTGAGGCCAGGGAAACAGTACAGACAGGTTATTTTCCACGGTATAATGGGATGGACTTTAGTCCAATTCCCACCAGGATCTTAATTTTATCTGAAACTTTATCAGCATGGCCTTTACTGTCTGCATTCCTGTCCACATTCCGTCAGAGCCACTTAGCCAATTTCTAAGCTGTTCCAGCTCGTTCCTCATTTCCTTTTCTTCTGAGCCTTATCCAGAATCACCCATAATACTCAGCATTCTAGACTTGTCCTAGTCCAGCCTTTCAAACTCTTCCAACGTCTGCCAGTTAGTAGCTGCCTCCCCAATTTTAGCTATCCTTATAGTAATGATTCCATTCCTCATTAGCAATTTTCTGTATTAGTCAGCTTTTGGTCACTATAACTGATACTGGAGAAAGGCTACTTGTGATGGAGAGAACTTTATTTTGGCTCATGGTTTTGAAGATCACAATCATTGTGGGCAGCCACCGGCAGAGGCCAGAGGATGGCAAAGGCAGAACACGAGGGAAGGAAAGATCACATGGCAAGCTTGAAAGCAGACAGCATGGCTGGGCCCATCTTGGATTTAGAAGCCACCCTCTCTCAAAAACTGTCTTCTGAGGTCACACCCCCAGTGATATATGGACCTATAACTCCGCTCACCTCCTAGACAGCACAGCTGGATTAAGTTTTCACTTTCTTAGTGCCAGAAACTTGTGACTTTGGAGCCCTAAGAGCCATATCCTGTTAAACCACAGCAAAGCCTTATCATCATCTATATAGTGAAACAGCTCAGATTGTAGATGGAAAAGAGTGATTTGGGACATAGTGCAAAGACATAAAAAATTTTAAAAATTTGGTGCACTAGCCTCCTCGTTTTCTATTTTTTTGCTGTTATGTGCACATAGATGTATAACATGGTGTGCATGCATTCATGTGTGTGCTGGCAAGGAGGGATTTCTTACATCAAACACACTTCCTTTTTTTTTTTTTTTCCTACTTTGACTTTGCTGTAGAAAAACCGGCTTCAGAGTGAAGGAAGAAAAAAGGTTTTGGTCATACCCCTGACATTTGATTTTCGGCTGGAATTTGAAGAGGCTCTTGCTACAACCAAAGCTAAGGCACTATCAAAGATCAGAAAAAACAAGTTGAGTGACATCAAAAAAACAAAAACGTAACTATCATAATTACCTCCAATTTTCAGTTTGAAGTTTTAAAGCATTACTTTATTTTTGTCTGATATTACGCACAGTATTTTAAATTGAGGTTTGTCATATGGTGTATTTTATAATGGGTATGAGTTAAAAGATACTAAATCACTGTTGTGGATATTCTTGGTTTATAAAATATTTATCATCATAATATTTCGCTAGTGTAGATGGTAATAGCAATGCTGAATTTTTAAAGAATTCTTTTCTTGAGCTCCATTATGTTGCTCCAGATAATTGTCAGGATTTACTTTAGGTTTAAAGTAATACATTTGAAGAAAATGTCTGCCTAAAATGACCACATAAGGTGGTTTCTCTGCATCCTTACAAGGGATGGCCTGAACAGGTCAACCTCAGTCATTCATTACCGTAAGTACATTTCTAATGTCAGAGAATTTTTCCAGGCATAAGAAATATAGAAGAGAGCCCAAGTACTAAGATGTAGAATCAATAAAACTTTTTTAAAGATTTATTTATTTGAAGGTCAGAGTTACATAGAGAGAAGGAGAAGCAGAGAGAGAGAGAGAGAGAGGTCTTCCATCCCTGGTTCACTACCCAGTTGGCCACCACAGCTGGAGCTGAGCCGATACGAAGCGAGAAACCGGGAGCCAGGAGCTTCTTCTTTGGACCGTCCTCTACTGCTTTCCGAGGCCATAGCAGAGAGTTGGATCAGAAGTGGATCAGCCGGGATTAGAACCAGCACCCATGTGGGATGCCGGCGCTTCAGGCCAGGGTGTTAACCCGCTGCGCCACAGCACCAGCCCCTCAATAGAACTTAAAATCAACTGGATATTGCTGGTAGTATAAATACTGTTCTTTCATTTATCCTATTTAACAATCCACTGTGTAAAGCAGATTTTGCAGATGAAAAAATCCGTCTCAGTGAAGTTAAATCACTTGTCCAAGGTCACACAGTAAGAATTAGCAGAGATTGTGTTAAAATCCTAGAGGCCTGCAGTCAGAGCCTGTGCCCCTCCTCACTGCCTGTTTCAACAGGAAGTGACTGTAACCTCTCGGGCTTGTTGCCAAGGTGCATTGTAACATTTTGTACTTAGGTAGAGGACTTGTGAGGAGATTAGGTGGATGAGAGGATTAAAATGAAAGAGCTGTGATTCATCTCATTTCATTTTGTTTATGTTAAATATGCCTGTGAGGCACCCAAGGGGAGGTGTCTGGAAGAGTACTGAACAACGATTTGAAGATGAAGTAAAACAGCTATTCCCAAATTGTAGCTAATGCCTGATTTACTTGTAAGCATCCTGACTGTGGCAAGAAATATCACTCCTTCATATTTCAATTATTTACTGAGATTTACTGAGATACTAGAACATGTTTCCAATGGGGAGCCACAAGTTAGCAGAAGAGTTTTTTCCAGCATAAGTCAATACTAATAGTTTATAAAAGTTAGCTTTATCACAAATTTCTTACCTTACTTACTTTGTTTTAATTACTTTGCTTCAAAATCACTTATGGAACTATCCATATTAAAATATAATATATTAATGCCCAGAAAAATGGCATAAAATAAAAATTTGAGAATATGGGGAAGGAAAAAGAAGAATATATAACCACATACACATATGTACGTATATATATATATGTGTGTGTGTGTGTGTGGTGTACTATGTAACAGGATAGTATAAGGCTAATGACCCATTAGATATATTCAAAGGCAATGAGCAATGGTTTATAGTTGTTGTTACTGCTTTTTTGTCTGAAAAGATCATTTCCTAAACAATTTGTAAAGACATCCTTGATTCTGTATTAGTGACAGTGAAACCCATCAACATCTGAGTAATGTTCCTTTTGAGTCAAGTGTAAGCCTGGCTAACTGGGAAGTGTGCGAACTATACCGACAAAGTGGTACATACTTGCAGCATTCAAAGACAAGGGAGATTTGTTTGATCAGTGTCCAGGAGAGCAGAATCAGCCAAAAGAAGAAGAAGATGGAGGAGGAGAAGGAGGAAGAGAAGGGGGAGGGAGAGGGGCAGGGGGAGGGGGAGAAGGAGAAGAAGAAAAAAGAAAAGTATTGGGCTGGTGCTTAGGCACACCGTGTTAACGCCCTGGCCTGAAGCACCAGCATTCTACATGGGTGCCGGTTCAAGACCCGGCTGCTCTACTTCCCATCCAGCTCTCTGCTAAGGCCTGGGAAAGCAGTAGAAGATGGCCCAAGTCCTTGGGCTCCTGCACCCTCATGGGAGACCCGGAAGAAGCTCCTGGCTCCTGGCTCCTGGCTTCTGATCAGCACAGTTCCGGCCGTTGCGGCCAACTGGGGAGTGAACCATCAGATAGAAGACCTCTCTCCCTCTCTCTGCCTCTCCTTCTCTGTGTAACTCTGACTTTCAAATAAATAAATAAATCTTTTTTTAAAAAAAAAAGAAAAAGAAAAGTGTAAGAATCTCCACAAGAGTTAGGGTTTTCCTCCAGCCAAAGGTAATAAAATTTGGCTAAAGAAAGTAAGAAGATCAGGGATATTTAGGTAAGCCTAAGCAGCAGACTACTGAGGCTGTCTTGTGATGTAGACTGTTCCTGTCTCCCGCCTGCCTGTCTTCAAGTAGGTTTCCTCATATAACAGCTGTGTGTTATTTCTCAAAGTAAGCAAATTCTTTAGGTAGCAGCAATTTCTACAAAAGTCAGAGTTCCTGATAACACTCATAGTTGTTAACATATCCTGTATAATTTTGTCTATAAAGTAAGACTATTTAAAATTGCCACCCATGTGTTAATTCCCTGCAAAATTACAAAGATTAGACCCCAAATAATCTATGCAAAAATTAAGAAACACAGCTTGTTTTCAATTACTGTTTAATTCTCTGAGAATATTAAGTATAACTTTATTTTAAAAAAATATTTATTTATTTAGTGGGGAGGTAGAGTTACAGACAGAGAGAGGAAGAGATATATAGAGATTTTTTTCTATCTGTTGGTTCACTCTCCAAATAGCTACAAAGGCCAGAGGTAGGCCAATCCAAGCCGGGAGTCAGGAGCTTCTTCCCGATTTCCCTTATGGGTGCAGGGACCCAAGGACTTGGGCCATCTTCTACTGCTTTTCCAGACCATTAGCAGAGAGCTGGATTGGAAAAGGAGCAACTAGGACACAAACTGGTGCCCAAACATTGCTATTTTATGACTTCCCCTGTGAACCTGTTTCTATTGCCTTTTATTTCCATTGTGCTTTTCATTATTTTCATGTATCTAAAAGCACATGGTCTTATCTTCTCATATGCCTGATTATTTTTATTGAGAACTGGAAGATGCAATTATAAAAGTATAAATATAATTTGAAGCTCCATATGTTCTGTTCTCTTCAATTGTGCAGACGTTGACACAATGTTTTAGCCAGACGTTTGGCTAGGCTAAGGCATTAGCATTCCCAGGTCAGAGTAGTTAATTTAACACTGAATTTAAACACTAAACTTCAGTTCTTTTGAGGGCTGGTGTATTTGTCGTGCACTCTCTCATTTAGGTTATAAACTATAAATATTTGGGGCCCAACCCAAGTCTGAAGAGTGTTCTAAGGTCCTTCCTCATCAGTGGGGCCTGATCTCCAGTTTTATTCCCACAGCCCTACATATTTGTCACAAGCACTGCACGACCTCTTGGTCTCTTTGCTGCCAACTTTAGAATTGACAAAACACAGCCCCGGGTGCCAGACTTGCCTGAGTTTCCCTCTTTGCCCAGCTCTTGGCCCCTCAAGTCATTATTGCTTTTCAAATTCTTAGAGGTCTTCAAGAAAATGTTGTTGTTGTTGTTTTAAAGATTGATTTATTTATTTGAAAGGCAGAGTTACAGAGAGGCAGCGACAGAAGCAGAGAGAGAGGTCTTCCATCCGCTGGTTCACTCCCTCAGATGGCCGCAACAGCTGGAGCTGGGCCAGTCAGTCAGGAACCAAGACCTTCCATGTCTCTTACATGGGTGTGGGGGTCCAAGTATGTGGGCCATCTTCTACTGCTTTCTCAGGCCATAGCAGAGAGCTGGATTGGAATTGGAACAGCCAAGTCTTGAACTATATGGGATGCTGGCATGGCAGGCAGCAGCTTTACCCACTATGGCACAGCGCCTACCCCCAAGCAAATGTTTTTAATCCTTTATTTCCCCCTCTCCTGGATTTTCTAGTTGTTCTCAAGGGGATTGCTTGGCCAAACCACCCACTTGTGTTTCCAGAAGTGGATCCTAGATTGCTATTTAATATAGTATTAGATTTCACTCAGACTTGAGTAATTCTCATTCTGGAACAAATTTTTTTGTTGTTTCTGGGACTGCTAACCAAATTTGAGTAAGAAATCTTTGAGGATTTCTTCAATTAACAACAGCTCTGATATAAACTTTTATTTATTTTATAGTATAATGAGTTGCTTTTATTCTACATGTATTTATTGAAAGACTGCTGTACTCTGAGGATACCACAGCAGTGGTGAAATACACTTATCCATTAACATTCAATAGGAGATCTAGATAAGTGAACAGAAACTAGTTGCTATAGAAAGATTTCTCTCTTGAGGGCCAGCAAAAGCTTCGTAGAGGAGGCAGAACCTCAGTGAAACCCAGAGAATTAGTGAAGGAGAAGCAGGATTGGAAAGGGAGAAATATGTTTCAGGTCAAAGCAGTAATTTTGACAAAGGACCAGCCAGATACAAAAGGAAGCTGGAAATCGGTGAGCGAACCACAAGTGGCTCAGTGTTAGTAGACTTGAACATGCTAAGGGATAAGACTGGAGAGTAATTGTTAAGAAGTGAGGCTGAAAAGGCACACAAAGTCAGGTCAGCGAAGGTCTTCTCAGCCAATTAAAGAACTGTGGACAATCTCCTGAGAAGGGAGGAGCATCTGAGGAGTTGAAATAAGGAAGTGCATACTCAGAATTGGACTTCAGAAATACCATTCAGTAGCAAAGGAAATATGTAGTTTAAAATTATGAGGGCTGCAAAAGAAAGACCAGAGTAAGTTCAATTTCCATGCCATTTTTCCT